AAAAAAAAAAAAAAAAAAAAAAAAAAAAAAAAAAAAAAAAAAAAAAACTTTAAACCCTCAATTGTACCACCCAAGTGGAAAAGAAATTACCACCCCCCCTCCCACTAAAAAACTAAAAACCCACAATAAACTAAAAACCCACAATACAATAAATAAAACAGTCATGTCAACATTTATGGGGGAAAACAGAAAGTGGTGGAGAGAAATTGAGGGAGAGAGAGAATAAAAATGAAACTTTTTGTTCTGTTTTTCCCTCCTGAACCAGGGACTGAAATTAAATCGTATTTACAGACTGCAACTGAGGATAAACAGTCCGGCAGCTGCTGCGCCGGTCTACTAGAGAAAAAAAAAAATAAAAATTACAAGAACAACAATATAATAACAATAATAACAAAAAAATAACAAAATAAAAGGTACTTGATATTTACAGTTTAGCAGTGAAAAAAGGAGGAAAGAGGGAGGCAAAAGGCAGAGGGAGGACAAAAAGGAATGGACGGGGAGGCTCCAAAAGCTGTTGGGTTTCGGGGATTTGAGCATCATTTCTGGTCTGATTATTACTGAGATTAGTGGAAGTAATATAGTGTGGTCAACTCGGGCTGGACATGCACATTTGCGTGGTGGAAAGAAAGACAACCGGTTCATGCCGACAGCGGACCGTTAGGCCGAGTAAATTATTTGCTATGAGTTCCTTCCGCCACCACAGGCCAAGAAGAACATGATATGAGCATCACAGGCAGGCTGTTTGGGAAGTGGACGAAGAGGGTTTCAAAAAATCTCTCTCACAAACCAAACTAAATTCATTCAGAGTCCTCCTCCTGCACAAACAACAACTGTGTACGCTAGCTGAAATGACAATGACGAGCAGCGAGAGCAGGCAGTAGTCTCTCTGTACCCTCCGCACCGGAGTCTTGAACATAATCGAGCCGATATGAAACTTAACACCGTAAAGTGACATAATTAATGAGGTGACATTTCACCCTACAGTGCTGGGCAACTGTGTTGATGACATGCGAGACATCATTGAGGCTTTCTGTATTTGAAGCGACCGGAGCCCCACACCAACGGCTCCCCTCTCTGTGTGAAGTAATGCCGACAGCTGGACACGACGAGCACAACTCGCCCCTTCGCTTCCGCCCTCCTCCCTTTGGAGATGTGCAATACTCATTTGAGAATTAACATGAATCGCTTGGTTTCCAGCTTAACCAATGAAAACATGAGCTTATACTGAGGAAACTGAAAAAAATGTGCACTCTGCTCCTTCTCATTCCCATAAAAAGGCAGTTGAGGAGCTAATATTCAAAAAAATAGAAACTGTAAAGACAAGGCTGTGGTGCCCTCACTTACTAATACAATTTAAAACCAACTCTTATCTAAAATGAGCCAAAAATCCATCTGGTGACAAATTGGGAGATTTAAAAGTAATCCTTCACATTTGTTCCCCCTTTGGCCGGGTGAACTGACAATACTCGAGTAGAGTTCAGGGTAGAAAGTGACAGAAGAGCCACTATTTCTACATTCTACAGTGGGTTGTACGATCAAACATGTACACTACAAGAGTGGCATTTATGACCCCACTAAGGATGATTGTCAATATTAGGCGGGCCTTACATACGGCCCCTTATTCTCAACCCCACAGTCAATCAGGATCCCATTCAACGGCACCACGGCCCCACATAAAATACGCCAATGCAAATAAAATGAACATAAAAAGGGATAAAAGTCGACTGTATATTATAATACAGAAAATCCATATAACATGGACAAACCCCCTCCTCGTCTCCCAAACAATGTAAAGTTTCCTTATTCTAACAGGCCAGACAAGGGCCAGCGTGGACTTACAACTGCAGCTTATATTAAGCCCAAGCATGGCTCCCTAAATATCCTTAAAAACAACCCCCACACCTTCCTGAAGCCGGCAGCCAAAGAAAGTGTTTTCTATTGGAAATGGTTAAAATCCAGGGAGAATAGCAATGCTGAGTGTTTACGTGGGTGTGTATATTCATTTCTTTTTCTATTTTAAAGGGTTTGGAGCCAGAGGGGAGGTTGAGAGGGAGAAGAGCAGAGGAGAGAAAAGGAAAAATGGGGGAAGACAAAAAAGAAAGGATGACAGAGGGATGGATGCTCAGGTGCTGTTGTTGATGGATCCGGGTGCTGAGCTGGGCTGGGCGGTACTGTCCGACACACTGCCCTCTGCAGGGGGAGAGAGGGAGCACACGTGTCACCAACACAGGCCAACCTCCGAAGCAACGATAGATAGTTCAGTGACGATAGTTAACGGCCTATCAAGTGATTATAATGGGTCCAATAGGAAAAACAAACAGCCAGATAAAACCGGCAAATAACTAGATGGGTAAATGTTGAAATAAAAACCCCGCCTGAGTAAGATATGTTTGTATTTTCTGATACACACCATGTGAGGCCGGCGATGTCTGTGCACGAGCGTGAGGAGGAATGAGGTTGGAGTTCAACTGGGGCTGAATAGACAGCTCTGACAGAGAGAGCAGAAACACAAACAAATGTTTAGTTATCCATAAAATACCACGGGTGCATCGGAGGTCAAATACAAGAAAGACACGGAGGTGAACTGACCGACGGGACTGAAGTTGAAGAGGAGCGGCAGTTCCCGTCCGCTGGGCAGGCGGGTGTTGGGCTGACGCAGCTCTTCGAAGAAGGGGTGCGCACACGCCTCCAGAGGAGACAGCCTGGTCACCGGCGTGTATTCCAGCAGTCGAGAGCAGAGGGCGATGGCCTCTGGTGGGGTGCGAGGCTTAAACACCTGACGGAGGAGAGAAATTTAGCTTTATGTAAATCCAAAGACTCAGGGCGCCGTCAGACGTCGGCAACTTGAAGAGGGAGCACAGCTGGCGCTCGCACGGCTCTTTGCAACAACAACAACTTATCCTATGAACGCCAAAAAAGCCGTTTAGATATTTGACAGGTATTCACACTAAAACTTCAGAATGGTGTTTGGATAACCATCATCCATGATTAATACTTTCCAGTCATGGGAACATACCTTTGTCCAAGGGTGTGCTTTGATCTGAGGGAACTTGAACTCTGTGTAGTTAGGGTTCATCTCTCGGATCTGCTCCCTTGTTGGTGTCCCCAGAACCTGAAACAAAAATGAAAATATTAATCACAATCATTGGTACGTCCTCCATGCCTGTAAATATACCTAACACCTGTATTTGAATGTATTCAAATACTATATTTACATACTCACACATTGATGTTTCTTTCACAATAGTTAATAGCAGTTTCTTGATGCTCAAAGCCAATACTGACGGCACTTTCAATCTCAAACTTTAGACCATGTCTCCTTTCAGCCACTGTAGCATCCCGACTGTACCTTGATGATCTCTACTAGCTGGTCCACACCACTGTCCCCGGGGAAGATGGGCTGGCCCAGCAGCAGCTCAGCCAGCACGCAGCCGGCCGACCAGATGTCGATGTTGGATGTGTAGTCTGTGGCACCAAAGATGAGCTCTGGGGCGCGGTAGTACCGTGAGCAGATATAGGACACATTCGGCTCCCCCCGCACTAACTGCTTCGCACTAGAAGGCGGTAAAAATGGAGATGAAGCAGAGGAGGACAGTTCAGGAAGCCAGTGAACCTCTCATTTCTCAGTGCGTCCGTTTTCACAAAACCACAGCATGAGAACAGTCAGAGGTGAGAAAAAGACACGACGGATGAAAACGGGGGAAGTCGAGGCTGAGAAAGAGACGGTTACACAAACAGACAGCCTGCTAAACATGCACGCCGACACACAGACGATGTCGACACTGGAAAGAACGACGGAGACAGACCGACGCGTCCGGAGGCGGAGTCTGGTACTGACCTGCCAAAGTCACAGAGTTTGAGGATGGCCGTCTCTGGGTCCACCAGGAGGTTCTGGGGCTTGATGTCTCTGTGACACACGCCCTGGGAATGGATATAAGCCAGACTGCGGAACAGCTGATACATGTACACCTGAGGGGAGGGGGAGACACAAGAGATGGTTGGCATAAAGGTTTTAACAACTTGGACAGAATCATACAGATATTCCAGGAAGAAAAGAAGAATTTTTCCCTGTTCTCATGTTGAGTTTAATACTGCTTTCATTATCATACTGGCTAAAGTATGAAAGTATGAAGGAAAACTAGTAGGGACATGGCCTTGAATTATCACAATCCCAGCAGTATATTAGAATTCCTAATGAAATAAATTATTTACTGAATACAACCTGGATAAGAGGCAGAAAAGGCTTAACCAGTTGAAAATGATTAATTTGATTAAGATAATTTATATTTTTGCTTAAACTGTCAACTCCACTTTTAGTGTATAGATCTTCCTTCTAAATAAAATAGAGAAAAGACTAAATATTTCTGAAAAAACGAAAGAAAAAGAAGTGAAAAGACTTTTTTGTTGTTGAGGAAACTACAATCAGTCAGACATTAGCTGGCTGTGTGAAAGGGGTTTGTGTGTGTGTAGGTTTTTCATCATGTGCCCTGATTGTGTTTTTGGGTGCACTGTGTAGGTAGGTGTGTGATGAAAGACACAGCTGTGTGTCTGATGCAGCCCGCGGTGCCGTGTTTCTACAACAAAACAACAATCCTCCCTGAAGACGTGCAACTATCTTCATCTCCTATTTGACATTTGTCTACTCGTCCTCGGTCAATGGTGTCATTCTCGATTCACCCAGTTAAGTCTGCACCCATTTGATGTGTCTGTGAAATGCAGACTGTAAGCATCTTAATATGACATGTCATCACCATTATCGTCACTACTACCCCCATGATGCAGTGACAGCAGGCTGGCAACCGATTACAAAACGATTACAGAGAACATGATGACTGAGAGGTGATGTTTAAAAAGGGGGCAGAGGGAGAGGAGGAGGAGACCGGTGAGGAAGAGGGAAACAATGAGACCCAGGGGACAGGGAGAGGGGGGGGAGAAGACCCCCAGACCGGCTGTGATAGAAGTGTGTCGCTGGAGGACGGAGGGGCGACAGTGGAGAGAGAGAGAGAGATCAGTGTGCATCTCAAAGCCACAGGGGAGCAGCAGGCTGAGGAAGGGAAATGGGCCGTGAGACAGCTTTAACGTCCTCTCTGCTGCTGGAGACACAGCGAACACACAAACACTCTCCCCCTTTTAATAACAGGGAACCAAGTGTGTTACTAACTGATTAACTCCTCTGGGACCATCGTTCCCTTTCTGCTTTCAAATTCCTTCAACAGAGAGTCGTCTGGGGAAAAGCAAACAGGAAACTACTTGCTTGTTTTTTTTACACCCACAGGCAATTACTGAACAAAATGTTACTTTCATTTCCCGTTCAATTTTGTCAAAAATGAGTGATTAAACTCAATTGAAACGACTAGGACGAGCCATCTAAATCTAATCCCTTTTATTATTTCACAGAGAGTGAGAGAGCTTTTCCATGCCTGGATACAGACTGTGACTTAAAAGTTTCATCTTCTTAGAATTAAGTATTTACAGTAGTATACTTCTACCCATGAAAGCACCGAGAGTACAGATCTCTGCCAAAGATGAACAATCCTCCAACTTGCGAAGCAGCTGCCTTTCTCACAAATAGTTCTGTATGCGTGTGTCATCTAAATGTTTTCTACAAAGCAGCACATGTTTGTCTGGATGTTAGAGGTTCCCACTACTAACTAAAGCATGCAGCATTATCAGTTACAGCTGGAATGAACTTCAGATGCATTAATCCGCCAGAAAAGACCACAAAGACCAGACAGAATATTTCCTTCTAGGATTATAACACTTTTAACTTATAATACACAGAGAGACCCCCGAATAACTGACTTTAATCAACCTTTGGATGACCGTAATGTTTAAATGTGTGCCCACCTTAACATAGATGATGGGGATGGTGGTCTTGGCTTTGTTGAAATGCCGAGCCACCCTGTACACTGTCTCTGGGACGTAGTCCAGCACCAGATTCAAATACACCTCATCTTTCTGGAAAAGAAGAAACAGAAAGAAAGGAAAGAGGAGTGTATAATTAGAGGCTGACAATGAACTCTTAACTACTGTAAATCTGATGTCATGAGTAGAAAACAAACCAATCTCATGAAATGAGAGTAAGTAATCAAACAATAACTATTGTAGCTGTATGCAATGATTAGTTTTATGATTGAAGATGGCAACATTCATCTTATGCTTTACACTTATTAGCGACGAATATCTGAAGCAAACAATGATTGAATAAAAATTTACAGTTGATGCTGGTCATTGACAACATTTACACGTCATTAGTAATAACAACAGATCTATAGTTACGAGTGTAAACACAGTTAGCTTGCCACAGTTATTACTGATAAAGTACAATTGAGTGTAAACATTGTCAGACTCACGGAGGATATTCAGACTCACCGACACCAATGTTATACTTATTTCTAGGCCGCACGTTTTAGAGGTTAAGGATCAAAAAGTCAAGTTTGGCCGATACACCTCATGTACTTGAATCTTCAAAATGTTGACTTGATGTACACTAAAGACCCGGATCAACTTGTCTGAAACATGTCTATGAATCACCATTGACTGGCCGGGTGTGGAGGCAGAGTGATTCATCTAGAAACACAGAAAAAGGTGAAGTCAATGCACACACACACACACACACACGCACCTTCTCGCCACTGGAGTAGAAGAAGTAGCGTAGCCTCACAATGTTACAGTGGTCCAATTTCCTCATAATTTGCAGCTCCCTATTCTGCAATGAGGAAAGGAAAAAGGAAGTGAAATGGAAAAAATGTTAATTGTGCAAAAATATGACAAACTAGCACAGGTCAGTAAGTCAGGACCATTACTGAAGAACATCATATTCTAATCCACGGAGCAAAAGTAATAAACAACGTCATTTGCGTATTACTACCTTCTCTGCAGATGTAAAGTTTACAACTTTACTGTAACTGTTTGACAGCAAGCCCGTGTAAACATACCTTAAACCTCTTGTCTTGGAGAACTTTCTTAATGGCCACCATCTCCTGGCTGTCGATGAGGCGAGCCTGGTAGACCACCCCGAAGGAGCCATTTCCTATAACCTTTATGTCTGTATAGGACACTTCCTGTGGGCGGTCGGGGCCCTGCCCGGGTGTCGCTACCACCGTCGTCACCTTGCCACTGTCTCCTGTGGACGAGAGCACAAATACGCCTTGTTAAAAAAGACCCTGATAGGACTCAGTACAAATTCACTGCAACATAATTTCCATGGATGAAGGGATGTTTAGACATGTGAGAAACACAGTGACACGACTCCGTTCAGTTCAGCCTTTAAAACCAGCGGTTCTCTAAGACAGAGACGTTAAACCAAACCCCTTTCATACCGGAGACACAACCACAACGCAGGTCTACTGAGCCCGCATTCAACCGGAGTTAGACCCACTCATACGAGGCCGCTGTCAAACATTAAATCACCCCAACAATATTCTTAACATGCTAACAGCTAAAATACAATACCACTCATGTAACAACCAAATAAATGAAGGGATGAAATTTGTTTCATGTTTTACTCGCAGCCAGCTTCTTTGCTCAGCTGGACAAATATCTCTGCATATGGCACATTTTTGGCAACGTCCATTTACATTAAATTCCCATTCCAGATAGGAGAGCCTGGAGCACCATCCCTGCAGCACACGTGTCACCCAATTCAGGACTAAAGTCTCAAAGTCAGGTTGACGCGTGTTAATGCAGATTGCAGGTTTAACCTTCGTCTCTGTGTTGATCTGAATGAGGTGTGCACATTCCAATAATATCACAAGTATAGGTCGATGTACTCCCTGTGTAAAGAGCCTGTTTAGCAAGTTGTATTTAGTGCACTATTCTTTTGTTATTATCACGTTATAGATGTTCTGTTGGTATTAAAGTTCATACAACAGATATATACATAGAATGGAATGCTATAAGCGGTATATTTTATGGTGTTTTATTTGCCATTATAGTTTCTTTCAGAGCTAAAATACAGGTACATGTACTATTGTTAAATGAGATGTTTACGGTCTGAGTGTAACTGACAGCTCTAGTTAGGGTCAAGTAGCTGCTCAGTGCTCTGTGCCTGCGTTAGGTCAAAAATGATTTGACAAATCGGCACCAGAAGCAACGACACTGGGAGGGGAAGAGCAGCAGAGGAGGAGGCCCGTTGCCAAAAGGCTTGTCAGAGCCTGTGATAAAAAATTGCGTGGACAGTAGCACACCCAGAAGTGCTACCATTTCCTGGGCTTGCTCACTTCGCCTGTCTCAACAGGACCCCTCCTGATCTCTAGTAGGTCTCCCAAGTCTCAAAATGGAGTCAGATAATGAAGCATTTTGGTCTCTCCCATAAATTGACAAAACAAAAAAATAACTTGGCTTCATCAACTGCTATTTCTTTAACACTTAATAGTTGAATAAATTACAAATTAGATACCCATCTCCAATTGATTCTTGGTCACAAAAAACAACTCTATACTCTGCTATTTTTTAACTTTTTTTTCAAGGTTATCATTAAACGGCAGCCGGTAGCATAGCCACATGATTGGCCGAGATGTGATCTCAGCCCTCAGGTCAGCAGGAAACATTCAGCTTTTGAAATCAGTCAAGTTTGGTTCATGCACATTCCTGTATCCTCTATTCCTGCTCCACAACACAATGCTCCTCTGTACCTCCTTTTAGCATCACTTTCACACTCTTTTCAAACACGTTCGGTCAGAGGGGAGCACATTAAATATGGAGCAGCTGTGGCATGATAGTCCCTTGAATAATGAATGCAAAAAAAAAAAAAAAAAAAAAAAAATGGAGCACTTTGCCCAGCTGTCAGTGAATAGCTTTGGTTTCTAATAGCTAAAAGGAAGCCTGATGAGTAAGAGAAAAGGAATTAGCAGAGTGACTCTCATCACACCCACACTGATAAGCAATTAGCTTGGTTATAAGTGGAAAACTCCAACACAGTTTTAACTTCAGCAACTGCATGATGAATTACAACAGGTCTTTTATCATGCATCGCCTATAGCAGCGGTATTCAATTAAAGTTCAACGAGGTCCATTTAGAACTTCCTCATGTAAAGGTTCTGAACATCACAATAATGTCTAACTTGCTCTGATTTAGTGCCATATATATTGAGTTATCCAACAGCTGTTTTAACATCTGTATGTAGTCAACACCTGACTGTCAAATCAAAAACGTTCAATTGAATTGATTCAGTTCATTCAGGTGTGAAGTGATGTCAACCAAGAAAACCACGATATTATATTTGTCTTATCTTCCAATAAGAGAAATTTGTGTGCAGGGACTTTATCTGTGGTTATTGAAACCACTCGTTTCAGCTCTATTCCTCTCTGTAACATCACTGTTGGGAAGTGAATTAACATGTTAGGATTCTGATCATATTGGGCTCTCAGATTGTTTATTAGCTGTGACTTCATTTCAGATTCGAGTGGGTACGTTTACACAAAAGACGTGTACTTTGTCTCGTAGTGGCGCTTCACATTACCGCGTATAATACGGAATACACATATTTGATTGGCTGAGTAGCATCACCTGAGATGATTTACAATGCATGTAATTGGTCAGAAAACTAGACTGCACAACTATTGAAGTTCATGTTCTTGTACCACACAGACTCACGATGGCGCTCTTGCCATGCACTGATCTCTTAGGCGTTGACAGATACCAGGTGCTGATCCAATATGGTGCTCCCCTACATTTAAAATCTATATCACACTGCATGGATCGGGATCATTTTTAAGTACGGTAGCATGAGGCCAGAGATAGCCATGATTCCCGTGGCACAACATACCGAGTCAGAGGCGCACTGAGAGACTGAATTTCATAATATTGGTGAATAAACTATCTAATGTGGATTCGTCACGTCTCCACTGTCTTGGTAAACTGTTTCCACTATCTTAAGCTACAATTCTCACCGTCTTGATGAAAGATTACCTGAGGTGGATTTGCGTACTTGACCAGCTGTTGGAACACATGTATAGACGTTATACACGTTCATATATTACTATTATATAAAAAAATAATTGTCCAACCATATTTCAAATGTGTGAACACACTGTGGAACAGGTATTAATGAGGTTTTAAAGTATTAAACTTTTTTTTTTTTTTTTGGTACAAACTGTAATGTGTCCTTTGAGTATTGAAAACTGTCTCCCTCAGATTCATACTCTTTAATATTTGATCAGACCATTTCGGATTAAATCTTTGACTGTTTTAATTAGGCCAACTACTTGTGAAATTGAGAAACTTAATTTCAAATGACGAAGAGGCTTTGTCGGGTGGAAAAGGCTTAAATCCCTCAACATACGGTATTGAACAAAGTGCTGTTTTGGTATGGTACTTACACTCTGGTAATAAATTTGCCATTTGTATCAAATAATTTGAAATACCAAGTCCTAAGAATTAATTTGCATTGCATTTGTTTGGCCAGTTCTAATCACTTTACGTCAACGATTGGCATTATCCCTAAAGGCTTTGATCGGCCAAACTGTATAATTTGTCAGTCTCCATTGGTCTTTGTCTCCTCTTGCTCTCAATGATCACTTATAGCGTCTTTTAATTTGTCAAAGACACCATCAAGTTGTTCCTGTTGACATGTTTTTCTCTTTCTGTTGTCAGACAACTGAATGAGTATTAAGTAGTGATTCAATCGTGGCTTGTTAATGCAACCTGTTAATAAAGAACTGTTATTCCTTCACTTCTGCACTAAAAGGTATTGATCAGTAAACACTAACCAGAGGTTAACGGTGACATCTGTCTCGTGCGACTGGCAGTATTGGAAAAATCCCAGTGAGAGTAGAGGTAGCAGAAAGTGACCTTCATATTATTGCTGCCACACAGCATCTCACTATGTCTGAGCAGCAGACACCATCCTCCCTCAAGTTCAGCTTTGGCCATGCATATTGATCCACAACAGAGGGCTTCGTTTTGGGTGTGAAAATATTTTCAGATTTAGTACCAATGTAGTCTAAAACAGCATTTTTGTGTTGTTTCTGCAGGGTCTAGGCACCTCCGACACAAGAACTTGCTTTCACGGAATGCAGAATATCCTGATGATCAAGACTGAGACATTATGAGAAGTGAAAAGTGAGCTCATATTCCACAGCAATGGATATGAATGAGCCAAATCACCTGATGGAGATCTGCGGATTGGCCGCATGCACGAACTTTAGTAAAGATTTACTACAGAGCAGCAGGAGTCGACTTTGATCTTTGACTTCCATTCATGTTCTTTCATAGTCATTTCTCTTTTTCAAATAATCAATTATTGATCAAACATGCTATTTTCTGTCAGGGCCCCAAACGTTTCTCTTTCCAGTTTTGAAAATGCTATTTGACACGAGAGCTGTGATGCTATTTTCTTCCATCTCTCCCAGTCTGTCCTTCTGCACACCTCTATCCAACCCTACAGATCTTCAGCCAACTGCTACCGCTGCATAGCTACATGACTGCTGAGCATTCTGCAAGTACTTTTCATCACACCAGCGAAACCAACTGCTGGGACTTTGCTGTTGGCAAACCAGAGTTTCCAGTAGAGGTGTCAAAACAGTAAAGATAGTGAGTATGTTCAACCTTCAGTGTAAAAAGTAGACATGCTACTTAAAGGAATAATGGTCTCCACTGAGATGTTCAGCAACGGAATTCAATTTATAAATTGTCTTCCACTTAAAAATGGTGCCGACACTTAAAAGTTTACCAAACTGTTTCCACTATACTAAGCTAGAATTCTCACTTTCTTGGTGAAAGATGACCTGAGGTGGATTTATGTACTGGACCAGTCCTTTAAATACACTGATGCTTTCATATATGCATTAATGTAGCCATCCAGGTAAGTGGTTAGATTAGTTTACGGTTAGGTCACCACATGCTGGTTAATCAGTAGTTTGGGATACTTTCAATGATTATAATTTCCATTTCTTCAGGCTACCACACGACGTACAGTGTTGCAACCCTAGTTTTGCACTCTGCAAGATCTGACCTAACCGAGGACGACGCCTAAAAAAAGTTAGACCTTATAATTTCCACCTGAAGCACACTTTACAAACGTTAGCAAGCTAGCTAGCTTCTACATCTGATATTAATGAGGAATATATTAGAGCATTGGCTAACACCAACTCTATTCTTGGGTTACAATGCAAAAATAATGGTTAGGTAATGTTTCCGAAAACATTTACATAACGTTATTTACCGTCGAAATATGAAACGGCTTAGTTCAAATCGTGCCACCAGCAGCTAACGATAACGTTAGCTATGCGATAAAAGCCCCTTGATCGCAATGGTTCCTTAATGAAAAACACAGCTAACGTTAGCCGGACAGCTAACTTAAGTTAGCTCACCAGCTAACAGCTTGGTTAGCTAAGGTTAGCTCCGTGACAATGATCGACACTTAAGTACACTCTGACACATTTCTCTAAAAAAAAAAAAGAACGTACAACCCGATCATTTGTGTTAACATGTAAAGCGGGCTTATGAAATAAAAATAATACTTACTGGGAAGTTTCAGATTCCCAAAGCTCGTCGAGCTGCTTCCACTAGCTTGTGAAGCCCCAGTCTTTCCTGTCGAGCTTCCGCCGGCTACTGCTGATCCGGCACCGGCTGCAGCGGACCCGGTAGCTCCGGGAGGCTCAGCGAAGGAGCTGGTCCTGGGCCGCCCGCTGCCGCTCATCTTTGTGTGAACTAAAGCCGGGGCGAGGTTGAACGTTAACGAAAGCCAGACCGGCACAAACCTCCGCTCTATATGTATGTATTTTAATATTCGAAATAAATATAAACTACACTTACAGCGTTCTGTATAGGTTGCCCGTCTCCCCCTTTCTTCCTCTGTAGAACGGTGATGGTGGGGGGGACTGGGGAGTTGACGCACAACGACGTAAAAAGCTCGCAAGGGTTGTTGGGAAAGTGAGTTCTTGGGGGTCTTCAAGCGAACGAAAATATGAACTCAAATTTAAAATAATCACGGTTGTAATTCATTATACCTCAATGATACTGAAGCTGGGTTAAGAATATGTAGCCAACACACATTGATCGTTTTAATCAAAATCAAGTAACAATGTTTGTAAGCATAAATTATTCTGATCAATTACAGTAAAAAAAAAAAAAAGTCTCGGGGGGAATTGTTCGCTAACGTTCGACAGAAAAAAACTACAATTCCCAGCAGGAAAGCACAGTTTATGATTGACAGTCGGTCTGTCCAATCACAGCTCCTGAAATCTTGACACTACCGCATTGGGCACGGCTTCGTATCACACGAATGGAGGCGATCAGCGGGCAAACGTTTCATTTTACTCAATGAAATGCAGTTTCCCACGGACACTTTTCAAATGTCTGCATCTCCACGCCACAGATGGTGATACGGGACTAGCAAAAGAAAAAAGAAGAAGGCGTACGCCCGTGTGACCGAAAGGGTGATGGTGACTACACGAGGGATTGTCCAACGAGAGTAAATGAGAGGTAAAGGGAAAGAAGGGCCCGCCGTCATAGCCGGAGAGCTTCGGGGAAAAGTGGGTAGCGCCGCCTGACGGACCGCCAGACGAACCGGGGAGCCACCGTCAGGAAACCGCGGTGCCGAGAAAACAGGTCTGCGATATCGGAGGGAGCGCCGCCAACAGCTCTCCATACGCTATCACACACTGTAAACAAAGATAGGAATCACGTTTAGTGTGGAGAATCGGACAATTGATTAGCGAGGATCTAGTGAGTGGTGGTCGTACTGTTAGCATTAGAGGGCCTCCATTTAGCTAACGGCTGAAAATAGCGATGTTTGTTTGCGGTACTGTTCTTATCTGTGGAGACACTTGATGACACTGAAACCATGTATTAACCATTTGATTGCTGCTACACAACTGCTGATTTAATATGGATACGTTTTAGTTTAACATGTTCATTTTTTTATTTCTTTTACCTCAGGTGTGCTCTGACACTGACCTTAATTGATTGGACACAGACCTCATCACCTGTCATCTATCATCTTTCATGATACACTTGCATCCTACACAAAAACACACATTTTAATACACACGCACGGTACCAGCATGGCCGAGCAGCAGCAGGAGGAGGAGGCAGCAGAGGGTGTGTACGTGGAGCACCAGTACATGTGCAGTGAGTGCCACCAGCTCTTTAACACCCTGGAGGATGTGCTGATCCACCAGCAGATCCACACCGGCCAAGAGGGAGACGGGGAGGTCATGACCATCCAGGGCATCGCAGAGATGGGGCAGAACCAGCAGTACCAGTGTCTGGAGTGTGGGGCCCTCCTCATGAACCCAGAAGAACTGCTGCAGCACCAGGAGATGCACATGAGAGAGGCGGGGATGGAGGTGGAGCATCAAGGTGAGAGATCTGATGGCGTGTAATTGATGCAACGGAAGTAAATGTATGACCTTTTTTTTTTCAGAGCTACTAGTTATACTAAGACACAACACTAACTGACTTTGTGCACGTTCCCCAGAGCTGTGTGAGGTTTTGGAGACTGAGGAAGGGTCTGAGGGTCAGATGTCTGGACCGGTTCAGTACCAGTGCCTGGACTGCCTGGCTCTGTTTGACTCACCCGAGACCTGGCTGGAGCACCGGCGGACCCACAGTAGGAGCAGTACACACAGTAACACAGAGATCGTGGTAAGGGAGATTTATTTAACATACGCATAACTGTAAGACATTTTTGTTCTTATCTGGGATGTAGAATTCATTGAACTTTTTACTGTATGATTACTACAGTAGTCTCTGTTATTGTCACAGTAATTTTGCTTTCTAAATTGAACAGTCGTACCAAAAGCACGTTATTGAGCTGTAACAATGATGAATAAAGTGTGTATATTGGGCTACAGGAGTTAATGATGTAGGTTATATTCTGCTGACCCATTCACATCCTAGAACTAGATTTATGTGGAGTGTAAAGTGCATTGTCATCTTAGTTGAGACTATCAAAGTAGAGTTTGTGTGCATCAAAAATATAACAAACCATGTCTTCTTTGTTGGCCATTGCAACAGGAGTATGTGCTCCAGCCCGATGGCACCATCACTCCACTGAACAACATGCAGAACTACGTACTGAGTGAGCAGCAGGCCGGGGAGATCTTGGCACAGGTACTTGGGAGCGTAAACACCTCACAACAAGAGGAGTTAAAAGATAACGAGTTTTAAGGTTTGTACACTGCTGTGTGTTTGCTCCAGGTACTCGCTCAGCAGCAGCAGCAGCAGAAGAAACTTCAGTCCAAACCTGCTGCATCGTCCCGCTCCGCCCTGATGCCTCCCGTGACGGCCATCCCTGGCTCTGCCACCATGCACCTGCAGATTCTCACGGCTCAAGCTCTGGCAGACAACTCCAGTGCCCCCGGGCAACGCCGCTCCAAGCTGCCCCCCCTGTTGCCCGCAGTGGGCCGAGGCTTTTCTTCGGGAAAGCTGGGGGTCCTGGAGACCGGGGACCAGAGACTGGAGTTAAGGTTGGCCCCCAGTGTCCAGGATGACACCCAGCAGCGGCAGCAGCCAACAGAGGTGGTGGTCATCCACCCGTATGAGTGCTCAGAATGCTCCCTTCTCTTCCAGACCCCGGAGGACTTCCTCCAGCACCAGGGAGAGCACTTCCTGGCTCAGGATAAAGAGAGTGGAGAGCCAGGCGTTATGAGTGGCTTCGAGGAGGTGCGAGGGAGGGAGGAGACGACGGAGAAGGTGGAGGATGTTAGGATTAGAGTGGCGGAGAAGAAAGCGGTGGTCTGGGCCAAGTCCCAACAGTGTGAGCTCTGCAACCGCACCTTCACCTCCGTCAACAGGCTGGCTGCTCACAAGCGCGTGCACGAGCAGGGCACGCACGAGTGTCCGGAGTGCGGCAAGGTGTTCAAGAAGGCGACGTCACTGCAGACGCACATGCGCACACACTCTGGTGTGGCCAGGTACTTGTGTGTCGACTGCGGCAATGGCTTCACCACTGAGATGACGCTTATCATGCACAGGTAAACACCACAGCAGTCTACGTAACAGCTGGCATGAACCTTTAATTATTCTTCTGTCTGTTTCACCTTTTCCTCCTGGTGTCATACAGGAAGTCCCACATTGCAGATCCACTTCACAAGTGTCAGTTCTGCAACAAAACCTTCACCAACATGACCAAGTACCTCTACCACCGTAGAACCCACCTCAACCGGGACTCATCCAGCACACCCGCCCCTGTCTCCATGGTAGTGAAATAAGCATACCCTCCCCCACACACAATTGCATCCGCAACCTCAAGTTAGTATTTCATTTCAATTTGACATGTGCTTGTTTTCTTTTCCGCAGGCCTCCGCTCCAATAAGAGCATCTCTCTCTGCACTTGCCATCCTACAGAGAGCCAGAGAGAAGAATTCTCTCACTGATGAGGCGAAGCGCAACCTGCTGGCCCCTCTCTCAGAAGATGAGATGGAAAAAATGGGGGAAGATCCAATGCAGAGTTCTCAGAGCAAAGTGGTAGGAGGTGAAGTGGAGAAGCAAGCGGAGGACACCAACATGGAGGTGACTGCCCCGCTTGAAGGCAACACCGATGACCCGCAGCAGGTGGAGGAGGCCACCGAGTCTGACTCGGCTACAAACCATGCTCCCCCGGACGACGCCGGTGTTTTGGTCGCAGCTGAAGCTGCTTCAGCTGCGCCATCCGACAAAGGGCCCTTTTCTTGTCGTTCTTGCCCTAAGACCTTCCCCTCCCAGCTGCAGCTCGTCCACCATCGACGCAAGTCGCACGTCACCGAGCGCAGCTTTATTTGCAGCATCTGTGGCAAGTCTTTTAAGAAGCAAATCCACGTGCGCAACCACATCCGCATTCACACCGGTGAGCGGCCCTTCCAATGTTCCGACTGTGGCAAAACCTTCTCGTCTCTCGCCAATCTGATGAGGCACAATCTCATCCACTCCGGCGTGCGACCGTACCGCTGCGACGTCTGCCACCGCTCCTTCTCGCAGTCCTCCAACCTCCGCCAGCACAGCCTGCTGCATGCCAACGCTGCGACACTGGGCTGCCCGGACTGCCCTGCCACCTTTCGCTGGCCCACCAAGTTGGCGGCACATCGCTACACCCAACATCCAGGGTCTCCGGCCCCTTTCCCGTGTCCCCACTGTGAGGCCGGCTTCCTGACCAGGAGACAGCGAGACAGCCACTTTCTGGAGCAGCACCCCACGCTGGTGCAGGCCGGCACAGGGATCGAAGCGGGCAAAGAGACGGACAACCAAGCGGAGTCGGGCAAAGATCTGATCTCGGTGGCCTCCACCTCAACCACAGCTGGGACAGAATCAGGAGATTCGGCCAGTGTCGGGCGGGGGGGCCAAGATTGTAATATTTGCGGGAAGAAGCTCAATTCTCCCGCCAATCTGCGACTCCACAGACTGAGCCACTTCGCCTTAGGCCCCGGGCGGCCGCGGTGCACTGCCGGGAAGCGGCCTAAAGCCCACCAGTGTCTTATCTGCGGCAAACTGTTTGTGTCGTCCTCTGGAGTCGCTCTTCACCAGCGAGTCCACACCGGCGAGCGCCCGTTTCCCTGCCAAGTGTGCGGCAAGCGTTTCCGTCAGAACACGCACCTGCGAGAGCACCTGCGCACGCACTCGGGAGAACGGCCGTTTCGCTGCGAGGTGTGTGGAAAGGGTTTCATCCAGAGTATGCACCTGGCTGAACACCGGCGGACGCACACGGGCGAGCGGCCGCACGCGTGTCCGCAGTGCGGCAAAGCCTTCAAGACCTTCTCCAACCTGAGGAACCACAAGAAGACCCACGCCCGGCAGCAGAGGCTGGACGAAGAGGCCGCCGCCCAAGCCGCCATGGAGACCAGCTCTGCCGTGGCAGTGGTGGACGCTTCGGCGGTGGAGCTCGCTAACGGGCAGCCTCAGCTAATCCAGATCCAAGCCTCCGATCTTCAGCAGGTCAGGATGTATATCCTGCTTACGTTTTGTCTGTGTACTCTGCTGTTGGTTGAACTAACTCTGTACCCGGTTTTCCTCCTCTTAGACACAGGGCACTCCCACGATCATGTGCAATGAGTTTGGGGAGACCATAGCCATCATTGAGACCAGCGAGGGAGGAGCGCTGCCTCTGGAGCAGGCCTTGGAGATCTACCACACGGCTCTGGAGAACGGCCTCGCCATGGACACGGGCTTTATGGACGAACTGCAGCTCCTCTGAGCTGACAAAAGAAATAACTGCCAAGTTGACGAGTTCAGTATTGGTCTCGATACGGACTCTAACAAAGACGAATTGACTACCGAGAGGTCGAGTATCCAGCTCAGACTTACTAGAGCTGGACTAAACAGATGTGAAGTTCAGCAATCAGACCAAAGTAATTCATCTTCCATCTTTTTACAAAGCTATGAGAGGGATCAGTATTAAAGTTTATTTAAATGATGCATAATAAAATAAAGGATTTGGCATTCATGAACAAGGACTATTGGTTGTGCCTCAGATGACATTTGTAAGATTCATTTTACCATTTATATGAACTTGATGTGACTTTTCTTCTGTTTAAAGGTTCGGTCGTGCTGTTGTAAATGGGTGAAATCAATAAATGTTTTTTCAAGGCGATACACATTTGTGACCCACGCGCTCATGCAACACCACCGTGTTACAGTTCACACAGCTCGACTCAACTGTACACTGGAGAGATGTGAACTTAACATTTTAGAAGGTGCTTCATTTTTAACATTCTTGAACCACGTATTGCATCTGTGCGTAAAGAAAAACCCATTTGTCACATGGCCAGCGATACAATCACTTTAATTGAACACCTATTTTTATTTGCATACTGAAAGATACAGATACAAACTTAAGATATTCATATAAATTCCTCTCGTATACTGGAACAGTAAAACAAGGAGTATAACACAAAAACATTAATAGCCATATTTATTGTTTTTTTCCATTTCATTTGTTTTACCTGCGGTAACGGGTGTCTTAAAAGTCAACTCATGTTCAATGACAGATTTTTCCTTAATAATATAATGAGTCTACAGACTACAGTAATTATTTACAACACAACCAAGTATTAGATCCTACCAGCTCTTTGATTCATTACCCTCCCCTCACTTCCCCCAGTTTTCTCTCCGCCTGCAAAGGTCCGGAGAGAGCAATAAAGTGACAAAGGGAGGAAGAAGGGAAGGAAAGAGGCGGAGGAAGGAGATGTACAGGTGTTGAGGCTATAAAATCAAACTTAGCGGGGAGGGGAGGGGGTTGTCTAAAAACATACGGCTTATTACTGCTGAAAGAACAGAAAGGTCCACGTCATGTTCGTCGTCCTCTCTGTAATGAACAATAAAAATAACTGCACCGCAGGTACTCGCTGAGGTGAGAGGCCAGTCAAGGGAAGACGGGAACGGAGGAACTGTACAAGAGCCGAGCAGCTTCTCACACCTGCCTCCAAAATGATTAAAAAAAAAAAAAAAACAGCTGGCAAAAATAAAAAGGAAACATCTGCCAGCAATGAGAACAGAAGTAAGGATCGGGGTTCACTGCAATGATAAGAGGAGTAATAATCATCATAATAACCATAGGAATAGTACAACAACAAACTGAATATGACAACATTAAATACAAATCAAATTTTTAAAAAAAGTTAATAAAACGGCTTGGCAATAAAGGATGAAGGCCTCATCAGCCTGACCTCTATGACTAAGAGCCAGGATGTGCCCGTTGACTCTGACCCACCTCCTTCCTTCATGGCCAGTGAATGAGAGGCACAGGAATGCTCGGTTCCGACCTACTGGCATGTGCTCGGGTCAATCGCAAAAAGGGAGGACACGGCCAGACAGGTAACCGCAGGAATGATGGCACTGCCGGAAGTCCACTTTGAGTTTCAGTCAATTTCTCAGACACTCCTGGTACATCTCTCCCCCTGAAGGTCTACATGTGGACAATAAAATGGAGAATAAGCTCTTTCCAGGTCCAGAGCAATAGTTATCTTGTTGATTCAAATGGTTTCCGGCTGTTGAGGGCCCAGCCCCCTAATGTCAGCAGAAACAAGACACGAGTTGAGAACAGTTCAGTCTAAATACAGATTTGTTCCTCACGCAGATACGTACTGCTTTACTCCTCTAACGCTATTAAAACAAATATCAAAACATATAATGTTCTTGTTTTAAAGCCGCTGACTTTTCATCGTCTCTCGATAGGTTGAGCAGGTCTCTGCGTCCAAAAAAACAAGAACCCTCTATTCTTCAAGGCAAACGAGTGCAGCTGTACACAATGGTCCTTCGTTCACTGGCATCAATGAGAGCGTTTCCCACGGAGGTTAATACAGAGTGCGAATTCAAGTGTGGTAATTAAGAGTTTGCAGTGTGTGTGTGTATATATATATATATATACATACATACATATGTATATATATATATATACACATATATATGTGTGTGTGCATTGTGGTGGTGTCAGGAAGTAGTTCTTGTGCCATGGGGGTTTCATGCATCTTACCAAAAAAAATAAAGTCCCAACATTGCATAAAAAACATCATTCCGTCTCACCGGTTGGGTGCTACGGATGGAAGGAAACCAGGATCAGGCCAGAGGAGGGTTAAGAGTGTGGATTAAAGTAAGTGTGTGTGTGTGTGTGTGTAGGGGGTGGAAAGGTGTGACTTCAACAGTCACTGATTGGTCAATTTCATTTGTCAGCATCCCTCATCTAGAAGACTCCTGTGAATCACGAGGATCCTCGGGGCTCCCCTCGGTCCCTTGCTCCACATCTTCATCCTGCAGGTCCCCACCTCCCCTCATGGACCCTTCTCCTGACTGGGAGCCGGAAGGTCCAGGGAGGGGGCCGAGTGAGTCAGGGATGCCCAAAGCGGAGACATCAGAGGGGGCAGCCGTCTGCATGATCTTCTGCCGTACCTCCCTGATCTTCAGCTGCAGACACACCTTGGTAGGAAAGATATCGGAGTATCTCGCCTGGAAGGCTGCAGTGGCTTGAGCTAAAAACACGACAACAAAATAAACCCGACAGGAATCAACAAGGGTAAATGAATGCTGAATATGCTCGTAGATATACTGTAGTGTGTGTTCTTATCTTACCTGAGGGAAAGAAGCCCTGCTCCTGGAACAGCTGCATGACCAGCGCTCGTCTCTGGTCCAGTGTTCGCCTCAGGGAGGAGTAGGGCACCTTATCAAACTCCATATCGGTCAAGATGTCTTCTCCGTCTGTGGCTGGGTGAGGGACAAACATGTGGAGAGGACGAGTCTTTAGGGAACTAGTTACAATAACCTTTTTTTGAATTTAGTTTATGTCCCTTCAGGCCCATCATCTTTGATACACTGCGAGAGGACGGAGCAACAAAGCAGGAGAAATACAGCAGTGGCTACAACATTTCTCCATACATACGACAAATGACCTTAAATGAGACACATTGAGACTCTTAGCACTGCCCCGTGTGTGTTACCTGCTCTGTCAAAGGTGAAGATGTCTCCCTCACACTTGGCGGCACTTTTCGGCGTGTTGGGCTCTGAGCTGCAGCTTGAGCGCCGCCGACTCTTTCTCTTAGGAGACACTTGCTCGTCAGTGGCTGAGTCCAAATCTAGAAGAAGAAAAAAAACCTTAATCGGCAAAGATCAAATCTCCATCTTTATCAGGATTCATCACAAAAATCTGTATGGAGCATCATGTAACTCAATTAACAGTCAATAAACACTAGAGACAGTTCTACCTTTTGCTTCCTTGAACAGCAGCAAATATTCACCAAATGAATGCACAGTCATGACGGTCACTGCAGCTCTTCTACAGTGCTCAGGTTAAAAGCATGTAGTCAGAGTATCACGAGAGTCAAACCTGTAGAGTTCTTCCTCTTGCGGCGATAACTGCCCAGAATGGCTCGTGGTGAAGTGGCCAGACTCTGCAGGGTGGGTGAAGGCAAAACCTCCTCAGGCCGAAACTCCGGCAGCTCAGCAAAGCGCTCCTCGAAATACACCTCTGACAGCACCCTGCCCGACCAACACACACACACACACAATATACAGTATATACACACCGTCCAGCAAAGGTTTATGCAACCTCACTACACAAGATTCATAAAGGTGTTAACTCACTTGTCTACCGAGTCAAAAGTCTTCTTAAGTGGTGGTGGGCGGGCTTTGACTTTTTTGGTTGGAGGACCCTCTTTGTCAGCCTGTGGGGGGGGCAGGGTCGGTTCTGTGGCTGATGGAGGGGGGGGAGGGGAGGAGGGGAGGGACTCCTTCCATCCAGCCTGCACGGAAAGTTGAAATGAGGAGTTATCTTTAAGATAAATCGCATTTCGCGACAAAAACCTAAACAGGGTGGCAGCTGGCTTGAAGGAGATCGCCTGAACGTTTCCTAATTGCTGTGGATTATACTGCATTGCATTTAATTTCCATTGATTAGAATATAAAACATGTTTTCTGGAGTACAAATGTCGGAAGCGGCTACATCTCCAGTCTGATCTCAAGCGCACAGCTGATAGGTACGTGATGTCTTTACATGAGGTAAGGTAGCGCTCTCTGCCACCGTTACGGCTGTAGTAGAATTATTAGATGTTACGCTTGACCAAACTTAATTTTGAATTAGTGACAGCGCTGCTTTTCTCCCCCAAAATGTAATATTAATTTTGATATTCGAATATCTGGTATTTTTTTTAAAATATCTGGTATAATTTCATTATGTTAGAGGTTGTGTATGGTGTTCTTCTCACCTCTTTGGTGGTTGTGCTTTCTCTGTGTTGTGTGTCAAAGGAGTCCGCTGCACTGGAGCCCTCCAGGGGTCGGTCACAGGACGGCGGCTCCTCAGCGGGATGCCCCGCCAGCTCAGCATCAAAGGAGAAGCGACTGGTGGCTGCAGCTACTCTCTCCTTCTCCCTCTCCCGCTCCCTGTCTTTCTCCCTTTCTCTCTCTTTTCCTCGGCCTCCTCCTTCATAGCTGCCTACGGGAATGTTCGCCAGCGTTGCCTTCACCTTCTGAGGGGTCCTGACTGGAAGCTGGGTTAGTTTCGGTGTACCTGGTACACTGCCTGTAAAAAACGGTAAAGAGGAAGACAAGTTTAAAATAGAACATCAACAAAATAATTCCCTTAAAATTAGAACCACGTGAATCCAAACGAGACATGCAGCCGTACCAGGTGTCTGGATTGGAAGAGGACTGCAGGGCCTCGTGGACACAGCTGAGCCACTTGGAGGTGCCACTGAGCTGCAACTGCCGGAGGTCTGCCTCTCCAGATGTCTGTCCGAATGAGTCAGCAGCTCCGTCTGCCTCTCAGCCGGTCTGTCTGCCTGTCGATCTGCAGGTCTGTCCGGCGGCAGGTGCCTGTCTGCCTGTCTGTCCGGATGGGGCTGCGGATGCGGGTGTGTGATGGTGCTGGGGGTGACTGTGTGTTTGGACAGGATGTGGGGGGACACGGTGGAAGGGCTGGAGATGGAGTACACCACGCTGGGGGGTACTGCTGTCATGGAGACCACCCCTGTTGCCATGGTGACGTTAGGAGAAGGAGGGTAGATGGCGGCGACTATCTGGCCCCCGGAACCTGAGCCGGGGGCCGAGGGGGGGGGCTGTGGAGACTGAGCCGTGGCCAGGAGAGGTGGCTGACCTGAATGAAGGGAACAGGACCAGGAAGACAAATGTTATTTTTGTTACATATAACACATTGAATAACATGTACACATCATTAAATGTCCATTTGGCTGCTTTATTCCTGATTAATATCACAAATTAGTGATTCAATCTATCTTGCCAACTGTCCAGATTATAACCTGTGAATGTTTTAGCATGGGGAGGTATTTAACTAGACCTACTGCGATTGGTTGAGCACATCAAGAACAACTGACCAGCAAAGATTCTGTCCAACAGATGTGAATCTAATCAAGAGACACATGTGGATCGACAAGCAAGTTAAAGTGTAAGCCAGCTGGTTTAGCATTGTTCATCAGACAGCAGATGTTAATGTTAAATCAGGTGCAGTTAATACATTTTATTTCATGAAAGAATACTTTTTTGGTTTAAAACTGTTGTAACGGAGGGCAGACTTTATTTCCCCAGCATGTTTGAGCTAACGGCGTTAAAGCAGCTTTGAGACACATTGACAGAGGATCTTTAGGCCGGTCAGCAGAAAGAAGATCATCATCATCTGAAAGTTAGGAACCTGAAGATTAATTTGAGAAGCAGCTCAGTAGTGTGAGTAAAGCTGTTCTAATCAGAAATAAATATTAATCAATAATTCATGAATTTCAAAAATCAAAATAAATTGTGAAACTGTAGAAGGGTGTAGAACATTATGATGGAAGTATATGATGACCATTCCCATACTTACCTATGTCTCATAACTCTAATGTTTGGGTTGATAGTATTTGTTACCATTTGAGAATTGATACAAATGGTTAAGAATCCTTACAAAATACCAAATTAATACACCAAGACCTTGAGGAACACCATAGAAAAATCCATGCTGAGATTTTGTATCAAAGACTTTAGACATTTGCTCTCAGGTGAGCACTTCTGTAATGCAAACTGTTAGGAAATAGGTCATTTTATACAAATGGTCTCACTCCAATGAAATGGTTAATATACAATTGCATAAAGAACAGAACCAATGAGCTCTCCACAGCACTGACCTGCAATCAGTGGCTGAACCAGCGTCTGACCCGGCGGTGCGATAGCTGTGAATCCGAGTGTGGCCAGGGGCGATTGCACGTATGCAGATCCGGGCACCGACAGGCTGGTGGAAGAGCCTGTTGTGGTGGAGACCAGAGGCAGAGTGGAGGAGACCCCTGAAGTGGACTGGACATAAGTGATCCTGGACGAGGAGGTACCGTAAAAGGGAAGAGGTGATAAGAGGAAAGAAATATGAGGAATTAAATATGAAGAGAGGGAGAGTGAAGATGGCGTTTTTTTTTTGTCACGACAAAATGTGAATAAAGGTGACAGAAAGTGTTTATTATAAGAAGTTATTGTACAATAATGAGCCAGAACAGGAACAAAGGGAACAGACACATGATTAGGAAGAAGGAGGAAGACATAAGAGAAGTGGTGCAGTGAGGGTCAGTGGGTGAGTGTACATCACATTGAGCAGCACTGGATGACTAGTGCTATAAGTGTGTGTGGAGCTGAGAGGTAGTGTGGGGGTGGCAGGCAGAGGCAACTTGTGCCACCAGCAGCATGACTAACACACCCAGAATAGAGCTGCACTGCTGCAGCTGCACCCCTGCTGCAGTTTTTGTTTCTCGTATATTGTTTTGCTCGCTGTGCTTTAAGAGATATGAACTTCCTTATACATGGCATCATTTATCAACAACCAGAACGTAACTGGAGTGACTTCAATCCATAAACTACGTATTTATTTTTAACACCTTTTAAACTGTAATCAGCAAAATATAACTACCTTGTTTGAAACCGTGGTAGACATGAAGTGGCCTATTTGGAAAGATACTTCATTGTGTCCGAAATGGTTGAAAGCACCTTCATCATCTGTCCAATGAGTGAAAATTGTAAATATTCTTTTTGATTGTTTTCTATTTTTATATGCACAATTTCTGAGCATGTTCCCTCAATTTTCAATTCCAAGATGGTTGCAGCAGAATTATATTTGGTTAAGTGATGTTTACTCGTTTTCGGGAAATTCAGAATCCCTGCAATGCCCATTAGTGGTCTAATGACTGCTGGAGTAGTATATTCTGAAATATGCTTCAACGGCCAGCACAGCACAGCACCAAAGCAATAATGGGGATCAGAGCTGGTCCATCTTTCTCATGTTTGCTCTTGTGTTTAAACTCCTTTTTCTAAATAACTATTCTGGAGCATGTAGACAGGACATGCGAGCAGCACACCTGATCCAATTATTTTCTGAAGCACTCTGTGAATACTTTGATGGAGATCATCCGTTGGATTGATATCACACAGAAACAAATATTTGGCTGATATAAAACCTCTCCTGAGATCCACAGGGTAGGATGAGTGAGGCGGGCATATGTTCATGACAGAGCTGAGTCAAGCTTTACTGGCACATCATGCGTTTACATCCCCTTTCAGACATCTGATCAGTAACCTTGTTGGGTTTATTCATCTCCCTAAAATTTGGCTCATGTAGAGTATTTTGTTGGTAAAAGGGTTTATTAGACAGATTTGATTTCCGTGCGCACATGAAATGCTAATTAAAATGTATTACACAGCCATCTTAAGAGGGCGGCATGAGACGCTTGATTAGATCACAACATTGTGTTTTGAAGAACACAAAATACTGCAAACATAGGAGCAACATGCTGAAATGTTTACTTACAAGGTGAAGTGCATTTCTGAAAGAGCCTATGTACAGTGAAAGGTGGGAGGGTTTCACCTCATCGAAATAAAAAAATTGCAAGGCAGGCAATGTCAGAAAAGCTTTTCACAGTCAATTTAGAATAACCGTTGGGGCTGAAAACTAATTTGCACTCTTTGCTGAGTTTATTCTGGTGCACCAAAGTGGTGACGTTTAGCACAGACTATTAGTTAGTCGACATAGTATTGCTGTTCAACAGGAGTTATCAAGTCAGCAGTGGAGAGTGGAGAGAGCAAAAGGGCGGTGAAGGTTCAAGAGGGATAGGATCCATATTCATTCTTTCACTGTGTTTTGTTGGTCATCGTCTACCTGGTGGGAGCTGGAGGCAGGAGTACAGCCTGGGAGGGGGCCGATCCTGGAGCCACCACAGCAGCTGTGCCCACCGTTACAGGGAAGGGGCTGCCAGGGTGGACCGCTCCACTGTGGGACAGCTGGGACTGGACCACAGGCATGGGAGCTATTTGGATGATCTGGCATGGGAAGAGGAAACCATAAAGAAAGGAATACGACAAATACAAACTGGCAGTGCTAGTGCTGAGCTAATCATCTGTTTTCACTTAGCGTTATAAAGTTCTCATGTCAGTGTCTCCACTGAAGAGCTCACTGACCTTACTTCCTGTCTGAGCACCGTTCTGGACCGGAAGAGGCGGAGCAACAATGGGAACCTGCTGGGCTGGTGCTGTCCGTAGTGTTGCCATCGGAACAAGCATTTTGCCCTGGAGCACTGGAGACTGTGTGTGCACTGAGGCAAAGAAGGACAAAGAGGGAGAGTGAGCATTTTATTAGAAGTAACAACATGACTATACTTACTCACTGTGATGATTGCAGTTCTAAGACTCTCACCTCTCGTTCCAGGGCTAACCACTCCCACTGCTGAGCTGGACGAATACCCCGTCAGTGAACTTGTCATCTGCTGCCTTCCATTGGCCAGGGACATGTGTGTGGGTGGAGCTGTGGGCAGGTTGAAGATACTGGTTGGCTGGCTGAGCTGCTGAGGTGGACTCTTTGGGTTGGCATTGGCAGGTAGGGTGGGCAGGATGTACTGAACCTGTGTGATACCCTTACCCCCAGGGGACGCTAGGGAGGAGGCGGGAAGGAACTGGGGCTGAAGCAGGGACAGAGGCAGGGGCCCGTTGGTTTGGTTGTGCGGTACTGAAACAGCGGAGGAGGAAAAGGCCTGCTGCTGGGAGGGATGGTGGTGGTGGTGGGAGGGTGTGATGAGCTGTACAGCGGGTTGAGCAGACAGAGCCCCTCCTAACACCAAATTAGTCACTACACCACCAGGGCCAATGCCTCCAGCTAAAGGATTAAGTGATGAGGAGTAGTACCCACCCCCTGTGGCTGGAACCCCTCCTCCTGAACCAATCAGAAGGTGTGGCTGCTGATGGGGAGTCAGGGACTTCCTCTCTGGCGGATGCGGGCTGGATGTGCCTCCATCTCTGGTTCTGCTGGCGATTGGGAGGGGCGTGCTGATGACAGGGCGCATTACATTGGTCACCACCGTAGACGCCACCCTGACAGCGCCAATCCCCATGAGGGGGTTCACCCCCAGTGAACCTGCTGATGAGGTAGTGGAGATGACCGAATGGCCAGAAGAGAGGGAGAGAGATGTGGCTTGCACTCTGCCGCCGCCTCCTCCTCCTCCTCCTCCTCCCTCTCCCCCAAATGTGTCCTTACTCTCTCCCTCTCCTCTTTCCTTCCTCCTGTGATCTGAAAACCCTCCCCCTCCTGATGTCCCCTCATCATAACGCTTGCTGCTGGGGTAAGAGGACAGTGAGACACTCCTGACATGAGGGGTATGGTGTGAGGAAGACGATAAGGCAGAGGAGCAAATGACTGGAGCAAAAACTCTCTGAAAAGAAAGAAAGAGACAAACAGATACAATTATTTAGAGAAAACAACACAATTAAATACTAGAACAGGAGTAAAAAAATGATTGTTCAAACCGGTTACCTTCCGATCACTTTCGTCTCCAGAACCGTTCTCACTATCGCTGTCAGTCACCCGCTCCTTACACTTGAGGTCTATGGAGCTGCTCGGATAAGGGTCCTCTGTGGAGAAGAGAAACACACTACAGCTACACTTGACAATCCTTGCAATTCATAATCCGATCAAGTCAGATGTACTTAGAGTCTGAATCAGCTCTTAAAGCCACTGGATCTTTATAATCAAAACATGGAAGTGGTCAAAAACTGGACTCAATTTAGCCACATTAGGAGCTAATAACAATTCAACATGCAGTTGCTGGAAATGTACAAAGTGGGTCAGAGTCGCAGGAAGCAGTGTGCTATCAATTGTTAACTAATCTAATCTAACATTCGGCTTCATGGGCAGAGAAGGTCTGATTTCTCACCAATGACATCATCGTCTCCCTCCTCCTCACAGATGACCATGCGCTCCTCGTCACTGGTCATGTCCTCGCTGACCCCCCTCTGGGACCGGGACAGGGGCGGAGCATGACTGGGGAACTGACTGCCACCATCCCCACACATCTTTAAAAAAAAATAAAAAAATAAAAAGAGTAAGAGATCCTGTAGCAGAGACGCCTTTGAAACAAGTGATTTCTTATTGATGTGTGTTTTATAACTTGTACATGCCTGGAGTGTCAAAATGTCTTCTCAGTTAATGTTAAGTATGAAAGATGACGTTTTATCATAGAAAAATGCCTTGTATTCCACTGTTGCAAAAAACGAAAAATTATAATGAATGTTTTTACCTGTGCTAGTTCTGTCAGGGCCTGTGGATTCCCCCTGTCACTCTGCTCCAGGCTGTGCATGGCACTTTGAGAGAAGGCTCTGGGACGGGTCAGCTGGCCCACATGACCTTCTCCTGTGTTCCTCTCAGACACGCCCACCAGACCTGGACCGACCCCCTTGAGCTCCACAGAATGGGGCTCTATCAGGGGGGGAAAAAAGAGGTCCGTTAGAGGACTTGAAAGGACATCAACGTTGTAAATGAGATGTTACAAAAACATACATGTTGTATATTGTGATGTCTGAGTGAAACCAACCTGTGGACTCGGACATGCTCCTCTCTCTGATGTCTTTGCCCCCTGGCACCCCACGGCCCTCTGAGCTGGACTTCTTCCTGTCTTTGTTACACCACTTCCAGTCTGGGTGAGCCTTAAAGTGGGCCTCTTTTACCTGGGAACAGGATTAGAGACAGGAGGGAGGGATGAAGTAGGAAAAATATATAGCATACATTATCTGTGTCAACATTTACCAGCAGTATATCTTAACTAAAATAAATGACGATGGCTGTCGGGGAATACCTGAAAAAGCTGTCTTGTGTCTTTAAAGGACTTGTAGGCTTGACATTAACTTGTTTGCGCACCAGACACTGTAACTCACGGTTATCTAAAGTTACTAGCCACTAAGCATTTACATTAGCCACAATTTTGTTGTTGTAAAATTATGTTTTATTTGATTAAAGTTGACTGGTGTGCTACAAAAGACTCTGTACGGCATGCCCTGTACACAGCTGGTACTAAAAGACGATGACGCATCAATTGGTGTCAATTTATCAACAACTTAATGCCACAGTTGGCCACATGGGGCACAAATACCAAACACACTAACAGAAAACTTTATTGTAATAATAAGGAATTTAGCGTGTCTGTTTTGGCTCCTACAGCCAGGTTTTTAATGCCCATGTGAACCCTGACGATAGTTCATCGTCATGTATCAAGAATCATTAAGCTGTACATCAAACTTCTTAAATTTTTGTGGGTTTTTTTGGTCTGCAAATGCATCGGTGCGTACCTGGAAGGCCAAATCGTGGTACTTTTGTTTCTCCTTTGGTCCGAGAGCGTACCACCACTCCCCAAGGATCTTGCTGACTGTCCTGTTGTCCTGGTTCGGGTGCCGTTGGTGCACCAATGCTCGATGGCGCTTACTGAAAATCATGAATGCATTCATTGGACGCCGGATGTGGTCCTTCTCCCTCTGAAAGATTAAGCGACAAAGATTAGAAAATGGAGCAATTAGAATTATGACGTTGATGATGATGGGAGCGGTGAAAAGACTACCTTTCCAGGGCTGCTCTTATCTCCATCTTTGGGCAGCGCACTGAGGGACTGAGTGCGTCTCTTTACTGGCGATGTAGAGAGGGGCTGCTCTGGTACGACACTTGGGAGGAAGCTGAAAGGAGACAAAACAGCCCTCCGTTTGTTATCTTTATTAGATATTTGCCTTGAGGACAACATGCACATGCAGGCTTACGCCTAAGCACTACTTACTCCTTCCCTATTTAATATTTAAAACTGGGACATTTTCTACTTTGTAACCAGTATTATTTATCTTAGAACTGCAACTCTATCAGATATAGACACAGAGCACAAGTAGTTCATCTCTCATGAGATACATCAGCAGATTTAGCAGATAGCGCATCCATTTCAATGGCTGACAGCCTGGCCACTGCCTTTCATATAGTGATAGAGCCCAGAGATGGAATGCTTTTGTTCCCATCTGCTTTGTTCTGGCAGTGAGCTCTTCTGCCCAAATTAGCGTGAGGATACAGAAAATATCACACTCCCATACTGTATGTGTGGGTACACAGAACCACGCTGAAAATGAGTATGAGGTCTGACTTGGACAAATAAATAACCCCTTTTATGATAGGGTTGTATGTACAGTGTGTATCTTTATGTGTTAATGTAACCTCAAAGGTTAGTACATAAAATCCTAGTAAAAAACAAAACAAAACATACAGGTCATCCACATCACTCTCCGTCTCGCTGTCAGGCCTCTCTCTCTCTGCATCTCCTTTCTCCTTCTCTGGAGGCAGCTCATCGGCAGAGGGGGGAGGCCGGCATGGAGGAGCTCTCTCTATAGTGGGAGGTGCCTCTGCAGGCTGCTGTGACAGCGCTGCCACCCCCTGACACTCTGAGGAAGAACAACAAAGAGACGCATATGTGTTTAGGGCAAAGTAAACCATACCTGGTAATCAAAACAGTATTCAAATCTAAGGAAAACGACATGAAACTGGTGATGATACATTTTCTGGAACCATTTCGTCAAACATTAAATGTATTGAATACCTGTCTTCAGACTGGCTGCTTGGGGGTGGTTGACTGGGTGCTGGCCCTCTCCTGGCTGAGAAGAGGCATCTGATTGAGTGGGTGCCAGGAAAGGGACCAATGAATGCCAGGGGAAGACTGGAACTGACCGGGGCTCTACATTGGTCCACACTGCAGAGGAAAAACAGCGTTGTTTATTACAGACAACAACCATCTGATTATTATCATTCAGGATTACCAAAATGCTATTTCCTTATTTGGGGAATCAAGGCCCTCAGTGCAACACTCCCACAGGAGAAGCTTTTCCAAGTCAAACCATAAACTGTAATAATTTATGTTGTTTTGGCGTCAGACTAGGTGAATGCAATTAATTACCCGGCAGAATACAGAAATATCAGCACTTTGAGAACTGCAGAGAATATCAGCCCTGCCACAGTAGCCCACCTCTGGCCACTTAACTGGTTAAATCACTCCAACAACAGATCTACAGAAGGACTCTCTGTTCTCAATAACAGGCTGGATGGAAGAACAGAAGCTGGTACACTCTGAACCCCCACAAATAAGGAAGTGACTGTATAAATCATATCTTTATTTCCATTATTGAAAAAATCTTTTAATGAGGATGATTTTCCCAAAAACTTTAAAGTAACAAAAGCTGCATCCTATAAGCTTTCTAAAATATGATCGGTACCTCATTAACACATTTCTTGCATTAAACAACAATTAAACAATATTGAAACATTGCTGTTATATGGAACAGATCTGGCAAAAAGAACATTGTATTCTCATAAAAACAGAAAGGTAATGACATGGACTAACCAAACATGCTCAATCCTTGGCGGAGATACTGAGGATTCTCTGATGAGTACATGGTTGAATGAAATCCTTGATGTTTCTCCCAAAAAGAATAATATGTCCCTTTAAAATCTCTCGACCAAAACACACAAAAATCCAGCTAAAGAAACATCTTTAATCCAAAAATCTAGAGCTGATATTGCAGGGATGCTCACAGATGACAAGTGCCCAATGGTGTCCGTTTCATCCCCACAGGTTGCGGTCATCATTCACAATAATAACTGAATCATAGTGATTTCAAGATATGGCATGGAGAGGGAACCTTTAGTTCCAATGAGAGTACAAATGAAATAAGTCTGTCAAGTGGAGTCCATCTCTCCGGATCGCATATCTAATACCGGAAACATCAGTGGACAAAATGTACTACAAACGATTGCAATACAAAACACATCTCAAGTTAAATTTGTACGAAATGCAACCGTTGTGTTGACGACCCGCTGAAACGACAATTGTGATCGAAAGCAAGGTCCCTCCTCCCTTTGGTCTAATTACCCCCAATGCCCTCTCTTCCCTGTTTGTTTACATTACTCCAGCAGCTTGGTCGTGAAGGGGTTAACAAGGCCTCTAGCCCATCCACGGCCTGGATTAAAACATCCGCCAGGAAACTACGCAGTCTTTCTGGGCCATGTAAAACTCTGCTCTGCGCTACGATACAGCGGAAGACAGGTGGGCTTGTCAGCTATTAAGAAGTACAATAAGCCCCCTAGTGAACCAGCTCACTGTAAGAGGGGTTGGAATCGATCAGGCTAAAGCAAAACTGCAACAAGCGAAATGGGGCGATCAAAGCTAAAGTGATCCGCCTAACTTGGAAGAGCGTCGAAAGAAACTGCCTAATGTCCAAGTACGAGCTATTTAGTCACACACATACTTTTAATACTTGTTGATTCATGTAATAAACCAATTTAGCGACCTCTTGAAACAAGAGCCTCGTGTGCGCCGCTCCAAATTGGACCAACCTCTCGGGAACGCCCCTGGTCGTGCACCCCCCGTTCAAACAGAGGCGAGAGAAACGCAATTGTTCTCATGTCGCAACTACAAAAGGCGTATTCACGCGCACTGGCTTCCCAAAATAATCCAGCAACGACTGTTTGACAAGTGCATTTCACCAAATACTAACTTGTTTTTTTCCAATTAGCTGCTAGCAGAATTGTACTGTGCACCTGTCTTAACCTGACAGCTCAGTTAACACCTACACAACATCCGAAATCGCCTATAAAAAGGATGGCGACCAACTTCAGTTCATCCGTGTTTACTCGGCATTTAGCAAACGTCGTTGCCTGTAAATCTGGTGCATTCATCCATCACCCATCAGCTGGTTATCAAGAGAGCTATCAACACTACTGTATATCCACTCTGAGCTCTTGGCTGGTTCCTGTGCAGTCTTTAATCTACCAGCTCCTATCCTACATAGGACTTGACGTTAGCTAGCAACTGATGGATAAAAGCCACCACTGTGCGGGCTCCTCGCTTCAATCGGCGAGGAGAAAAGGGGGAGAAATCGCGGTTCGTTCTCATCTTCAAGGCAGCGAACGAAGCCCCAGTATTGGACCTACACCGGACGGGGGATGCTTCGCATGAAGCGACACAGAAATATCAGGTTAAAGCCGCTGCTGGTATCCGTCTCCGTCTGCAGCAGGTTAGCTAGCCACTTCGTGAGGACGACATCGGAGCGCGCACGCCGTCCAGTTCACTTAATACTTGGTGTTACGAGTGTTGTTGTGGTCCTAAAAAGTCCTTGTTTAGCATCTCACCAGCTCCTAGACCGTGATTACTCCCTTATTTGTGTCTCGTTCTCTCGCCCTTTCTTCCTCTTTCCCTCCCTCTTCCTCTTGTTGTAAACTAGGCTGCTTTGCCCCCCCCCCCCCCCCCTGTAGTCGTCCCCTCCCCTTCTCGTCCTGTCAACCTCGCCCAGCCTTGTCCCGCCTCTCTCGGCCTATTCCACTCGGCTATTGGCCAAAGCAGTCCCCTGTCATCGCCGCGCCGCGGACCCTGATTGGTCAGAGTGTGCACTGGAATGCCAGTAATATGCAAATTATACCCGATTTCACGACCAACGGCTCTTCTTGCCACATAAACTGACTTAACTCAAATATACACTAACAATAAAATAAAATAAAAACCATCGTATAGTTCCAGTATATTTTTATGGAAACACCAACTGGCATTCAAGTTATTAATCTAAAAGTATTTTTATGTTTTTTTCAGTAAGCCCACCCCCACGCTGTCATTGGTGCAAGAGTCGTAGTAAATCTTGACTGAAGCGTGAAACCACCAACCAAAAGCGACATTCAGATGTAGGCCAACCAATGGCTTAACAGAAGTTGGACAAGATCCCGCCCCTCTTACAATTTCTTGGCAAAAGCTGTAATACCCATAAAGACCACTCGATGAAAGAAGGCGCTAGTGAGCTTTCTACTGTTTACTTTCCGCTCCTTTCGGTCTTTTTATGCAGTCTGCACGGGAGGCGGAGGGCTCTCGGGTCAAGATGACAATGCACATCCACGTACAATAAACCTATTATGAGTATGCACAGTCATTCGGCGTGCTATTTGTGTGTTTTAAGTGTTTCCATGCAAACACAAATGCTGCCTGTATTATAAATCAGCAATATTCACTTATGAGAGGTATTATACGTCCTTTATCTGGCAACTCTTACTTTGCTTTTGGGAATGCAACTAACAGCTGAGAGGCAAGTGATGTAACATTCCACTATAAAAAGCCCCTTTTCCATCCCTCCATCGTGCAAATGTGCCTCCTCCAGACAGAATGTTCAATGTTCTGATGCAACACTCACGGGGACAGGAAGAGAGGGAGAAAATGAGAGAGAAGAGAGTTGAAAACAGGAGTGTAGGGGTGGTCAGATAGAGAGGGAAAAAGGGTGGAGAGGACCAGAGGGTAAAAATAGACAGAGTCATTTTCAGCAGGAGAGGCAGTGAGGGAGGGAGGCATGGAGGAGGTTGGGTGGGTGGGTGGAGAGAAAACAACTTGTGAAAACATAACTTCTCTTAAAGAGAAGAAGGGCATGGGGGGCCAGAGATGGGGGAGGCAAAGGGAGACAAAGGCAAAGCATTTTAAGATATAGATTTGAGGTATAACACAGCTAAGACTTTGGTTTCCCGTCATACTCTATGAGTCAAGAAGTCATGCTCAGTTTAGCTCATCTATCCATAAGACAAATACAATACTGGGAGGGGCTTAATAAGCCAGTCGGCTCATCAGGAGCTCAGTAACTGACCAATAAGGCAGTGAGAGCCGCTGGCAGCAGCTGTCCTCAGGAATAAAAAAGTAAACCCTCTCAGTCCTGGGTTTCATTTCCCGAAATGAAAAACGGTATTCAAACATCTAGTACATTGGCAGTGTACCTAAGCTCCTCCGGCTGTATTCTGCAAGGCCATTGTCAGTAAAGCATCTTGTGTCAAGTTAAAATATGGGGTGACTGTCTGTACGTCTTTTAAGACTTGGGGGGGGGGGGAGAGAGAGAGAGAGAGAGAGAGAGAGAGAGAGGGTTATCAACCGCACCGAGCTCTCAGCAAGTCAACCTCGGCCCACACAAAGTGCAGAAAGCCGAGGGAGTTGGACAGTTTGAGCAGCCACAGTAATCCCTCATCAGCCAGTGGTTACAACCCTGGGTAAACAATACAAGCCCTCGATAATGAACTTCGTCTGACCAATGATTCAGAGCAGAGTCTTTCCCTTTGGCCTGGTTTGTATACGCTGATACGTTCTAGAGAGACTCACAACTCAATGCTGCAAATACACTTGCGTAAAAAAGTCACCGTTGTCTCCCTTCAGAGGTAATTTCGATCGTCATTCAGCAGCCATTTGGGCACAAAAGATTTACGATAAGAAAAACTGTTGCATGTAAAGTTGCAAAAGAGGAGGTGAGGTAGACATGAGATGATGGTGGGAAACCACAGAATATTAGTTCTTAGTCATATATATATATAAAAGAGATAAAAGAGAGAGCGAGAAGGTGTGAAACAAAACAGGAGAGAAATTACCCTTCAGCTGAGCTTAGCTATCTCTCTCCCTACTGCAGTGCAATATCTGTGTAGGTGTACAGCGGCTTTCATTGGCTGTCTCTATCATGCTTTTAATGTGCATATGAATGCATGTCTCTCTCTCTCTCTCTCTCTCTACCCCCCCCATTACATCTGTCAAACACCACGTAACCTCACCTCCCTATACCTACACTGTGGAGGCGGAGCATCACCTTCGCTCACCCTCCCATCCCATCCCATCTCTCTCTCGTCCCTTTAATTCATCTTCCGCCCCTGTGCTCTGCGTCTCTCTCTCTCTCTCCGTCCAATTATAACTCGATTCACCAGTCCCTTTTGCAGTTACCATGGCAACAGCTGTGTTGGGGCATACAGGTCCCCGTGTCACTCGTGTGGTCAACACAGTCTGCCACTAGACCATAAGCATCTATTGCGTCAGAGTAAAGTCAAGCAGTCATTTTTTACATGTCTTTTAGACACTGGACGCGATCATAGCTTTGTTTTCTAGTTCCAGTTAAAGTAAACAACAACAAAGCTACTCTTTATTTCGTTCAATGTTGCAAAGGGCAGACTGCACCTCTGAGTATTGAAAAGAAAAATGGAAATTACTGGGAACTGAATAGATGTTGTCACCCACGAAACACACACACACACACACACACACACACACACACACACACACACACACTCTGTGGCTTCACTTGAAGAGTCACTGACTCTCTCTTCTCAACGGTGAATAATCAGCATTGGGGGAAAAAAATACACGAAAGGCAAACTTGTGACCAGTGTTCGCAGACCCAGATTCCTTCATCCACTTTGTGAAGGAACTTGTAATGTTCGTGTTTGGCCATCTGGGGGCAGTACTGGCCTGCAGATAAATGACCAATAGACGGGCAAGCAGCAGAAAAAAAACGGTGAAAAAGAGACTGTGGAGCTAGAGATGCAATGAAAGGAGAGGAGGAGGAGGAGAGTGGGATGAAGGAGAGAAAAGGCATTCCTGTGCTAAATAAAAACTCCTCTCATTCCAAACTTGTGAATGTGAGGAACACAGGAAACCTGTGAGCTCCTGAGAACAGTGAATGTGGGTTTCAACTGAGATCCTGAAGATTCAAATCTGAATTTTTGGTCCAACTTCAACATGCATGTAGTGAAAGTGTCCGACTAAGGAGCCCCACTGCACCAGTGCATTTTGAGAATCTCCCCAAAGTACGCTTCGCCCAATAGGAAAACAGGATTATCGTTGCACATTACTTTTTGTGGTAAGTGTTGAGGGGCTTCACATGTGCTTTTGGTGCCAGTCTGGATGTGCTGTGTGATCCAGATGTGGTTGTTGCCATGGCCAGGGAGGATATGCGGGGCTTTAAGCGTTACGTAAAGCAAGGGGCGGGGGGGGGGGGGGGGGGGGG